AAATTCCAATAAAGGATCATTTGACAATGGAAATAATAATAATAATTTCAGGCAAAAGAGGATGCTATTTTCTCCAAAGGGGATTTTTATTTGTTCTTGCCACTAGTAATTAGGGTTAATTTAATACACATTCAAGCCTTGAGCTCTTTCTGGGTCACTTAGATGATATGATGTCAGCCTGCAGTCTGAATGAGGGTTAGTTACTTTTAGAGCTCCATTACACCTACAGTGCAGTGTTTTAAAATCCTGGGCCAAAGTAGGAGGTGATGTGTCAGGATTACAGCTTTTATAAGTCCTGGATTCCAACATATCCCCATCAACTCTTAAAGCTGCCAAGTAACTTCTGAAGCTTCTGAAGCTTCCCAGTCATTTCTGAATCAGTCAATTCCTTCTGACAAAAGTAGCCTCTGTGTCAGGTTCATCACTCCAAATTCCTTACCTATCCAAGATCTTGCTCCAGTAATTCCTCACTATCTTGACAGTCATCACATGATTTCAGAGGACGCTTTTTATTTTACCCAGCTTGTTGAGCTTTCTTCAGTAGGAGGGTTGACTTGAATTATAAAATCTACTAACAATAAAAGTTCATTACGTTATTCCTGAAAGAAAATCTCATTAGCTCCAGTGAAGGGCCCATTCCTGGTCTTGTGGTCAGGGGTACAGGGTCATTCAATAGAGTACTCAATATATATTAACTTTGAGAAGGGCAGGTTCTAAGACAGGAATGTGCACATAGGAGAAATGATTGACATCTCTAATATACCAAGTTACTTTCTGTTCTCTAAAGGTACCCTGTGCTTCATATATCATACACTTGTGCTTTTTCATATGCTATCTTTTTAGCCAGGATTTCTTCTCTTCCTGTTCACTGGGAAACTCCTTGTTTCTTTGTCAAGACTTAAATCAAACTAATGTTATCTCAAAAAAAAAAAAAGTTAAAAAAATTTTTTTAAACCAAAACTCAAGTATTGTTACTTCATCTAAAAATTAGCAAGTAAGCAAGCAAACAAAAAACCAAACATTTCTTCTTTTGTATGCTCTTTGTAACATGCATGATGCTTTCCATAACAATTACTCTATGCTTTGGGATAGGATTTTTTTTCACCTTTGTGACCTGACATTGTACCAGGCACATTCAACAAATATTTGCTGAATAAATAAATGAATGCAAATAAAGAACAATTCTCTCTAATTTTCCTTGGGTCTTATGTTTCACAATTGTATACCATTGAGACTTCAAAAAAATACCTCCCTTCAGAGGTTTTTCATATAATGGATCTTTACACTTGCAAAAAACTTTCCTTCTTCCTTCTAAGAATATATAATTCAGGTATGTTTGAGGAAGAGTAGACAATGATATCATGTTAGAGGTAGTTTTCTAACTTCCTGTACTCTATATGATTTGGTACCAATTCCAACTCTTTATTTTCATGCCTGAAAGACAAACACATTAGTGTTCTAACTCATTAGTAGGCTTTCTGGCTACTTCTCCCTTTCCCTCCTCTCTTTCCATACCCATAAACCATTTTTCCCCCTCCCACATTTTCATCCCTCTCCTTTCTAATTTTCCATTTCTTCTTCATACAAAGAATCAAATGCAGGGCCTCCCCTGGTGGCGCAGCGGTTGAGCGCTGGGTTGCGAGGCTGCCCGCAGCCTCTGCAGCGCCGGTTCAATCCCTGGCCACCGGCGAGGGTCCCACCAAAAAACAAAAACAAAGAATCAAATGCAACAACAGAAACACACAACTTAACATCTACACAGTTCTGTAACTTTTTTGAAAAGCAGAAACCTAAACCATATGTGAAAGTTAATCAAGAATTAAAACTAGGCCTCCCTGGTTAGGACACAACCTATGAAGAGATCCGCTCCCAGGGTTGACTATGTTTGACTTAAACCTAGTACAGCCTATCTCCATGGGCAGGTGGCCTTCATTCAGACCAATGAGATATGTAAAGACTTTTCTGGGGCTTCTGGACAAGATGCTTCCTTGCCATTCTGAAGGAGATTCCTTGAGAGATGTTCTCTTCCTACTAGAAATGAGGGAAGCACATGTCACCTCTTAGAAACTATGTAGTCACACTGAGATCACAAAGGAACAAACTTTAGAAAATGAAATATTTTAGAAGAAATGGAAAGAAACTGGTAATGAGTTTGTCATATTTCAACTTTACTATATAAATGTGAATTAAATAAATAATGAAATTAATACTAATTAATTTCAGCTCTGCCTACCAGGAACAATTAATAGTTGGAAAAAAGTCCACAAGTCCAAGATAATAAAATCAGAGAAATTAAGGGTTATTACTTTATTAAGACAAAAATCATTAAATCTCTAAAACTCGGGCCTCACCCCTGGTGGCGCAGCAGTTGAGCGCTGGGTTGCAAAGCTGCCCACAGCCTCTGCAGTGCCGGTTCGATCCCCGGCTTCTTCCTGGCCACCAGAGGAGGGTCCCACATGGCGCGCAGACCTCTTCTGCTGCTCATTCGGTCCTTCTGCCTGCTCTGGTCCCCGCTCTGGCTCTGGTGAATTCTCTCACCCTCCCGCGCTTCTGACTGTACCCAGTGCTCATATAAATAAATGGATAATAAATAAATAAATAAATAAATAAATAAATAAATAAATCTTTAAAAAAAATCTCTAAAACTCATTTACAATTTTTTTAAAGATTTATTTATGCATACAAGCTGGAGTACAGGCCAGAGATGTGGGGGGTGAGAGGATTCACCAGAGACAGAGTGGGGAACAGAAAAGGCAGACTGACCGAAGTACACTGCTTAAAACTCATTTACAATTGATGGTAGTTCCATTTACTCAAAATAAAGAGGTTTTTCTCTTCTATGTCTTTTCCAAATCAAGTCTATGAATAGCAGGACAATTAAAGTTTGAAAAGGCAGAGAGACCAGAAACACATGTATATCTATCTTTCATTTTCCCAAGAAAATTATACAACTTTACCATTAACTGTTTTCAATAATACTAAGTTTGCACATAAAAAGATGGTGAGGAAGGGCCTTCCCGGTGGTGCATCAGTTGAGCACTGGGCTGCGTGTGAAGCTGCCACTGCCTCTGCAGCACCAGTTTGATCAGCTAGGGTCCCACATGGCTCGCAGACCTCTCCTGCCACGCCTGCTGCTCCTATCAGCAATGCACTCGTCCGTCTGCCTGCTCTCTCCCCGCTCTGGCTCTGGTGAATTCTCTTACCCTCCCATGCTTCTGACTGTACACAGTGCTTGTATAAACACATAAATCCTAAAAAAAAAAAAAAAAAAAAGATGGTAGGGAAGTGGGGGTGGAAGGCAAACTAATGAAAGAAACCCAAAGGCAATTTCCAGAAAAATAACATGATAAAAGGAAGAAGACAGAAAAAGATAAGGGGAGGAAAGAGGTTGACCCATATTGGGCTACAGAAAATATAAGGTCCAGATAGAACATGGATGCCAAGATAGAAAGACTATTGTAGTGGGTCATGATGTTACATTCTTGCCACATGTCTGAGATATCAGCTTTATGATGCTAGATGGTTTCTCAATCTGAAGTATAAGGAGATTGAACAAATTGCCTCTGATACTCCATTTCTAATTTTCTTTTTTTATATATACAATTTTTTTTTAAAGATTTATTTGTTTATTTATTTATACAAGCACTGGGTACAGTCAGACACGCAGGAGGGTGAGAGAATTCACCAGAGCCAGAGAGGGGAACAGAACAGGCAGAAGGACGAAATACTCTGCGGAGGGGAGCACTGGGCGCGGCAGGAGAGGTCTGCGCGTCATGTGGGACCCTAGTCAGTGACTGGGGAGATCGAACCGGTGCTGTAGAGGCTGCAGGCAGCTTCGCAACCCAGCGCTCAACCGCTGCGCCACCAGGGAGGCCCACCATTTCTAATTTTCTGATACTTAGAAGATGCTAGGTAGAGAAGCTAATAAAAGCCAAGATGGAAATCTGGAGGAATGTAAAATCTAAGCAAGAATCTCACAGTGATTATCAGGACAGAGTAAAAGCTGGGGTAGGAAAAGAAAACTGAGAAGGTGAAGAGTCAAAAGCAGTTGCCATATCGACTATTTCCATTTTTCTACCATTACCATAAGAAAGATATATATCGGGGCCTCCCCTGGTGGCGCAGCGGTTGAGTGCTGGGCTGCGAAGCTGCGCGCAACCTCAGCAGCACCGGTTCGATCCCCGGCCGCCGGGCAAGGGTCCCACATGGTGTGCAGACCTCTCCTGCCGCCCGCTGCCCCCTTCAGCAGTGTACTTCGTCACTCTGCCTGTTCTGCTCCCCGCTCTGGCTCTGGTGAATTTTCTCACCCTCCTGCGCTTCTGACTGTACCCAGTGCTTGTATGAATAAATAAATAAATCTTTAAAAAAAAAAAAAAAAAAAAAAAAAAAGAAAGATATATATCACTACCTGATAATATTCTTATTGCTATTAGGTTAAACCATATGAAGTTATTGAAATTCAATTGTTACGATAACAGCAATTTCATACAGTTTGACAAAATATTTTACATTATATGATTTGGAGACAAGGAGTCTTCACACTGGACAATTAGCTATTAGTGGATTTATATGGAAAATGATGGGTTTGATTTCTTAAATTTTTTATACAGCTGATATCACTCAGTAACTAACTAGTAAAATTAATGGCTCCTATTCTCTATTACTGTGATTAGATTATTTCCATTACTTTAATACTACAATTCTGAAATGCTTTATTCCTCTTTTCCCCCAGTATATTATGCCTTAATTTTTCACCAGGTAAAGAAACTGAGTCCTAGGACCACAGAAATGCAAACATAGTTTTCTTTAGAGTAGAAATACCAAAAAGTCTAATAACTGATGTCATTAATTCATAATACTGAAATGGAGTGGCTTAAAGAAAGAAGTTTAGGGCCTCCCCGGTGGCGCAGCGGTTGAGCGCTGGGTTGCGAAGCTGCCCGCAGCCTCTGAAGAGCCGGTTCAGTCCCCGGCTGCTCCCCGGCCACCAGGGGAGGGTCCCACATGGCGCGCGGACCTCTCCTGCCGCCCGCTGCTCCCCTCGGCAGTGTAGTTCGGTCCTTCTGCCTGCTCTGCTCCCCGGTCTGGCTCTGGTGAATTCTCTCACCCTCCTGTGCTTCTGACTGTATCCAGTGCTTGTATGTATAAATAAATAAATCTTTAAAAAGAAAAAAGAAAGAAGTTTAAACAATATCATATCATCATCAGGAAAAGGTTGGCAATTAGAAAGATGTTGAAAAAAAGAAAAAGATGTTGAATCTGGGGCCTCCTTAGTGGCACAAGGGGTTGGGATGCAACCTATGAAGCTGTCTGCAGCCTCTGCAGCATGAGTTCGATTCCCTGGCCTTGCCAGGGAGCAGCCCACATGGTGCAGCAGACCTCTCCTGACTCACCCGCTGCTCTCCTCAGCAGTGTACTTCAGTCAATCTGCCTGTTCTGTTCCCCACTCTGTCTCTGGTGAATCCTCTCACCATCCCCTGCACCTCTGGCCTGTACCCCAGCACTTGTGTGCATAAATGAATGATTTTTTTTTTTTTTTTTTTTTTTTTTGTGGAACCCTCACGGGCGGCCAGGGAACAAACTGGCGCTGCAGAGGCTGTGGTCCGTCCCGCAGCCCAGCGCTCAACCGCTGCGCCACCAGGGGAGGCCCAAATGAATGAATTTTTTTTTTTTTTTTAATTTTTTTTTTATAGAGGCATGTTTTTATTTATTTATTTGTTTGTTTGTTTGTTCGTTTTTGTTTATACATGCACTGGGTACAGTCAGAAGCGCGGGAGGGTGAGAGAATTCACCAGAGCCAGAGCAGGGAGCAGAGCAGGCAGAAGGACTGAAGTACACTGCTGAGGGGAGCAGCGGGCGGCAGGAGAGGTCTGCGCGCCATGTGGGACCCTCCTCCGGTGGCCGGGGAGCAGCCGGGGATCGAACCGGCGCCGCAGAGGTCGCCGGCAGCTTTGCAACCCAGCGCTCAACCGCTGCGCCACCGGGGAGGCCCTGAATTTTTTTTTTTTTTTTTTTTTTTTTTTAAAAAAAGGAAAGATGTTGAATCTGCAAGAGGAAAGGATATCCTTCCACTGTACAACTCAAAAACTTCAAATTCATCCTTACCTAACTACGAAGGAACTGAAAGAGGCATTTAGTTATGTTACTCTGATTCTCTATTAAAAGGAACTAGCCCTAAGGAACCAAGAAACTAAAAAGAGAAGTAAAAATGGTGGCTCAACCTTTGCCATCCAACACAAACACTGACAGATTCCACTGGTATTATTAAAAAATGACCAATAGGACCTCCCTAGTAACGCAAGGGGTTAAGCACATCACTGTGAAGCTATCCACAGCCTCTGCAGCACGAGTTTGGTCCCCAGCAGCCAGGGAGCAACCCACATGGCACAGCAGACCTCTCCTGTCTCACCCACTGCTCCCTCAGCAGTGTATTTCAGTCAGTCTGCCTGTTCTGTTCCCCACTCTGTCTTGAGTAGATCCTCTCACCCCCTCGCACCTCTGGCCTGTACTCCAGTTCTTATATGAATAAATAAATCTTTTTTATAAAAAAATGACCAACATCTGGAGATCTAAGTTTGACCCTAATTTGTCACTAACTTGTGTGATCTTGAGCAAATCTTCATCTTCCAAAATCTGAATTTTCACCTCTTCAAGGTGAGGAGGAGGAACAAATGATGTAAATGAACAAATGATCTAAAGCAATATAACTTCAAACTTAGAGAAAATTTAAAGAACAGTACAAGGAACTCTTTTTTTTTTTTTTTGAAGATTTTATTTATTTTTGTGTAGAAGAGCTGGGGTGTAGGCCAGAGGTATGGTGCAGGGGGCATGGAGAGAGGATTCACCAGAGTAGGGAGCAGTACAGGCAGATCGACTGAAATACACTGCTGAGGGGAGCAGCGGGCGAGACAGGAGAGGTCTGCTGCGCCATGTGGGTTAGGTCCCTGACTGGGGATCCAACTCAGGCTATAGCAGGGATAGCCCTGAGACTTAACCCCTAGGCCACCAACTCTTGTTAAGGCTTTCATTTGAATTTAAAAATTATTTATATTTTGCTCCACTTGCTTTTTTATTTTCTTTATATATATGTGTGTATGTGTTCATGTGTGTATGTGTGTGTATATATATATGTATGTATGTATATATATATACTTTCAAACATGTACACATTTTTTTCTGAACCATTTGAGACTTAAAAATACCATACTCTTTTACCCCTATTTCAGTGTGTCATTTACTAAGAACAAGACAATTATCTTACATAACCACAATATAGATATAAAAATTAAGACCTAATTCACAATTCATATCAAATTGTGTCAATTGTTCTGAAAACATTACTAGGGCTATTTTTTCTCCTTGTCCAGGATTAAGTCTAAGATCATACACTACATTTAGCTGTGATGTTTCTTTTGCCTCTTCAATCTAGATCAGCTGCTTGGACTTCCTTTCTGTCTCCTGACTTTGACACTTTTGACAAGTACAGGCGAGTTAGTTTATAAAATGGCTCTCATTTTTAATTTGCCTGACATTTTCTCACGATTAGATTCAGTTTGTGCACTTTGGGCAGGATTACCATTAAAGTGATAATGTGTCCTCAGTTTCACATTAGGAGGTACATAGTGTCGGGCCTCCCTGGTGGCCTGAGTTAGAAGCCAGGCCAGGGAGCTGACCCACATGGCACAGCAGACCTCTCCTGTCTCACCTGCTGCTCCCCTCAGCAGTGTATTTCAGTAGATCTGCCTGTTGTGTTCCCCACTCTGTCTCTGGTGAATCCCATTACCCCCTGCTCCTCTGGCCTGCACCCCAGTTCTTCTATGCAAAAATAAGTAAAGATTTTTCAAAATCTTAAAAAAAAAAAGAAAAGAAAACATTCTTGGATCCTTACAATTTAACTTCTGAATTTAAATGTTAGAGGTAAAATAGGAAAAAAAGGGCCTCCCCGGTGGCGCAGCGGTTGAGCGCTGGGTTGCGAAGCTGCCCGCAGCCTCTGCAGCACCGGTTCAATCCCCGGCTGCTCCCCTGCAGCACCGGTTCAATCCCCGGCTGCTCCCCTGCCACCGGAGGAGGGTCCCACATGGCGCGCAGACCTCTCCTGCCACCCGCTGCTCCCCTCAGCAGTGGACTTTGGTCCTTCTGCCTCTTCTGCTCCCTGCTCTGGCTCTGGTGAATTCTCTCACCCTCCCGTGCTTCTGACTGTACCCAGTGCTTGTATAAATAAATAAAATTAAATCTTTAAATAAATAAATAAAATAGGAAAAAAAAAAAGAAGTAAAATAGGATTGCGCTAAAAATCTCGTTACATTATCTAATAGCACCAACCTCATAAGAGGCATCACTTTGCAGACCAGGTTGTAACAGCAAGGTTGAAGTTGCAATGAACTCTGGAAGCAGAAGCAGGAGCCTAATAGAAACATTTAGAAAAGCTGAAAGAAGCAGAGTTTATAATTTGAATAATACAGTTCAAATGCAATGCATTCTAAATTGGCCAAAAATATTTAGATGTAAGTTAGGTGTTCAGAATCACTGTTTTTCATTTTCTAATTTTTTTTTAAGATTTATTTTCATTTATTTATACATACAAGAACTGGGATCTAGGCCAGAGGAAGGGAGGGAGGTGAGAGGATTCACCAGAAACGGAATGGAGAGCTGAACAGGCAGATCTATTGAAATATACTGTGGCTGGCAAAAGCTTGATAGCACTGAGACTTTAACCCCTACGCCACCAGGGAGGCCCAATAAGTGATTTTCTTAAGAATTTTGGGTCTGGGGGCCTCCCTGGTGATGCAGGGGTTAAAGACAGCACTATCAAGCTACTGCTAGCCACTATAACACAAGTTGGAGAGTTGTTCCCTAGCCTGGGAGCTGACCCACATAGCATAGCAGACCTCTCCTGTCTTGCCCACTTCTCCCCTCAGCAGTGTATTTCAGTAAATCTGCCCGTTCAGCTCCCCACTCTGTCTCTGGTGAATCCTCTCTGCCCCTGCACCTCTGGCTTATATGCATAAATAAATCTTTTTAAAAAAAACAACAGGGCCTCCCCTGGAGCCACAGGCAGTTGAATGCTGCGCTGTGAAGCTGTCCACAGCCTCTGCAGCACCTGTTAGATCCCAGCCAGCCCAAGAGGGTCCCACTTGGCACTGCAGACCTCTCCTGTAATGCCATTTGCTCCCCTCAGCAGTGTATTTCATCAGTCTGCCTGTTCTGTTCCCCACTCTGTCTCTGGTGACTCCTCTCACCCTCCCGCGCATTTGGCCTGTACCCCGATTCTTGTATAAATAAATAAATAAATCTTTAAAAAAAAAAGAATTTTGGGTGTGTATAGCCTAAATCAAGGGTTTCTCTCCTCCTCCTACCTTAGGAAATTTGAATTCCACTGCAAACTAGATTCTACCACTGGTCCTCCTTCAATTCCTCACCATTTCTATGTATGGAGGCAAGCGCTTAAATACAAGACTACTTCATCCTTCCTGAAATAAAAGCTGTTTGTGAATACTCACGGAAAGTTACATAGTGCTAAATAGTGCATAATTCTTAAGACTTTGCCATCTTTTTAAAATCTGAAGATCTGAACATCTGTACACTTAAATTTCTCTTTCCTGCCATTCCTACAGCCTAATTTTTCAATATTAGACTGTGTCATCATTCATTTCGCCATTCAATCACTGCCCACTTCTTCTTTCTGTTAATATGCTTAGCTATTCACTGCTCCCCTCTCTTAATCAACATGTTCAGAATCTGAGAAATGCACATGAAAAAGGGAGAAAAACATTTTGGAAATTAATATACAACTAAGCGATAAAAAAGAATCTAGAAATGACAGAATATTTTACTGTGGTGGCAGTGGTGAGTAACAGATTGCTGCTTAAAAAGAGAGCCCTGTCTTGTTCAGCTTTATGTCCCACAAAAGATCGAACATAACGCTATGTACATAGAAAACATTCATTCACTGAACCAACCAATGCTCAGAAAGTGTTAGTACGCAACATTCTCAGGGTACTTAACAAAAAAATTGTAACAAATCATAACTAGTTCTTCACACCAGTAGGTTTATAGAGGACATCAGCCCAATAAGTAATTCGAAATATTTGCATAGAAGGAAATTAAAAACGGTCACTTCGAACAAAACTGAGATGAGCAGATCCATATTTACAATAGAGGGAATGAGACTAAAAATTGTGAATCCGAAATTATGAATCCCTAAAAAACATAAAATTACGTCTTCTATTTCCTTTAATTCCCTATAGCTTTTAAATTCGTACTCCGCAGTTTATAGAGGCAATGTTTCAAGATTCTGTTACCTCTTGCAAGCCTCTAATGGACTCGAGACAACTTTAATCAGAGCTGAATCCCAAACTGACTCTGGGGTGAGGATGGGAGTGGGGAATTTAGGATAATACTACCAACTATATTAACAAAAAGGAAAAGTACCTTTTGAAATAAAATGGCAGCGTTTTGAGTTGAGGGGAAAAATTCCATCAAAATATTTTGAGAACCGAATGATCTGGAATGGGGGGAAATTTAAGAAAATTGTAAAATCTAAGACAAAACACCACACATCCTGTTAAAGAAACTTTACATAAAACAAAATAAGCTGCATCACCGCTAAAAGCCTCTGTGCCTGCTAAGCTCGCAAAGTGGCCCTTCTAGTAATCGCTGCAGTTGAGTTGTATAAATTGTTCCCAGGGCTTTTTTGCTAAGTGGGCTGGTTTGGCCGGCAGGACTGAGGGTCCCAACAGGAAAGGCTTGGGCACCGGCTTCCCCAGGTTGCTTAACTTGTAGGAAGCCGAGGGTTGACCTTCCCAGGACCGGTTAGGGTGCTGGACTTAGGCAACCACTCGAGGAGCCTTTTAGGGTCTGGCCGGGCCGCGACCTGCCCCTTAACTTCCCCGTCTGTAAAATGGAGCAGCTTATCGCTCCACCGAGGGCGGCACAATACAGGACTGCAACTCGAGGCCCCGCCAACGCGGAACAGCCAACCAGTTCGGGCGAGGAGGCCGCGGCCGCTGAAAGGAGAGAACAGGGCAGTTTGCAGGAAGTGCTTTAGGGTTGGGAGGGGAGATGCAGGGCGGAGGCGGGAATGTGAAAGCCGAGCCCAAGCTGCGGAGTTTGTACCGAAGCTCGGGAGGGCGGGGCGAAGCTGGGGTGAAGGGGTTAGTCAGTGGATGGGCCAGCCGGGCCACCTCCCCCGAAAGGGGAGGGCTGGGTGCGGGGGAGGCTCTGAGGTGGCGGCCGGAAACGTGGGGGAGGGGGACGCGCTCAGGAAAGGGGCGGGAAGCGCGCGCGCTCACCGCGCATGCGCGCGCCCAGCTCCTCCAGCTCCCGCCTGGGCTTCTGATCGCGCGCCCAGCGCCGACGGTGCGGACGTTCCGGGAGGAGCCACGCGGCCCCGCCCGCCCCGCCCCGCCGGGATCAGAGCGTCCTGCCCCGCGTGCCTCGAGGTGGCGGGTCGCCACTTGTTTCTTCAGTGGGGAGCTGGGCAGCAGGGAAAGGGAACACGTTTCCATCCCTTGCTCTTGTCTTTCCCCTCCCCCGCGAAGAATGGGGCGGGAGGGGCTGGCGTGTCCGGGAGAGTCCGCTCCGGGTTTTCCCGCCCACTTTAACTCTGTGAGCGCTTCGACCGCGCGGCGCTTCACTCCACCGGGCGCGCCCGAACCCCTCCGCCGGAACTCGTGCCGCCTCCCCTCCGCCCTTCTCCACGAATGAAAAGTGGGAGCTCAGGCCTCTTCCCCTGAGCGCCGCGGGCCGCGTTGCCACTCCCTGCCTCTCTGGGGCCCAACTCCCGCCATCCCTGGCAGCTAGAATTCTCTCATGAGGGCGCTCTGAGGGACTACTTGATGTCTCCGTGCGCTCGGTGGTGCGGCCGCGCGTTGAGCTCTTCCTGGAAACTCCCGCCTGGGGGAGCCAGGAGAGCCCGGCCGGGGGGAGGGGAGCGGGCCGCGCGCACACGCCCCCTGTCCCGGGGGAGGGCTCCGCGCCCCCGCCCTCCTCCCCGCGGGGAGGGAGAGAAGGCGCGATGGGGGGAGGGGTGGAGGGAGTGGGGCGCGGAAACGGGGTGGGGGGCGCTTCCCGCCCCACCCCCCACCTCGAGAACAACGGGTTCCCGCTGCTGCCCCCTGCCGCCCACAGCGCCCCGCACCCCGCGGCCCGGAGAGGGGCGTCGGGGGCGCAGCAGCCGCTGGGGCCGTGGGAACCGGAGCCGAGACTTAGAAGAACTGACGGGTTTCCTGTCAGAAAACTTCCAATTACTTCAGAGGAGCCCGTTGGGCCAAGTTGGTCCCAGGCGCAGTTGGCCACATTTCACTGCAGCCTAGTGACCTCCCTTCTACTTTAAAACAACGGGGAATAATCTTAGGGGAAGCAGTCGGTTGATAAAACCAAGAGCAACACCATGTCGCCCCGCTCTGACTCAAAGGAATTAAACAGAATACTGATTGTGGCGGATTTTTAAAGGGCTCCCCACAGAAGGAACTCGAGTTTTTCAAGTAAAAAAGCTTTTTCCCCCCCCGTATGTACACAAAGATTTAAGTCATGAGAGTTTATTACAGCAGTACATCTGCTTGTAAGCTCACTTGAGCTTGTGGTTTAAAAAAACCCCCGTGAACTTTTTAAAAGAGGCATTTGTTTCTGAATCCAACTGGAAAAAAAACAATTCGAAAGAGCCTGAAAAAGTTCAATTAGAATAGCAGCCACATTTCAACATTTCCCAGATTTTGCAATATTAAACTGTGAGGGTTTGTGCCAGATTTTAAGGCAAGAATTCTTACTGCCAAATTACAAATTTCTCAAAATGAGGGGTGTTCAACCAAATTGCTGCCAGACCCCATAAACAGGCACTAACAGCACTGCTATAATTACACCTTATTATCTCCCTCGCAGCCTTATTTGATTCACTGCCGGATAAAATCCTCTTCCCGGGTGTCACTAGCTGGCCTTTTTCTGGGGCTGAACAATCACACACCTCCCAAGCCAGTCTCGGTTCCTCCAGCCCCTCTTGTGTAGAACCAACCGATCGCCCTCTATTCCATGATTCACAGCCCGTCTCGTCCTAAAATCCAACCGAATCAGTTAAGTTTTCACCTCAACTTTCCTAGGGGCTAAGAAATGAAGACGATGACAACAAATTGATCAGAATCACAAGAAATATTTCTTCTCTGGGGGAAAAAAAAAAGGAATTAGAACAAGAAGCCAAATTTGTTGTTTAACTCGAGCCCCCTACGGGGATTTAGCAAAGAGAGTTGAATGCAGTTAAACCAGCTTAATCACTTTCTTTGTTCTGGACTCTGCATTTATTTAATGTTGTATTTTAACACGATTTGACACAACCTAAACTAATTTCCTCTGTTAGTGTAGAGTCTACACTGTAGACTATACAACATAACCAAACATAAGTTTCTCCGGACCCCTTGACATTTTGTGGAATTATGTACTAAATTGTTATGTAGAACCAAGAAGGGGTGGGGGGCGGGCAAAGAAAAAAAATTTTAATTCACAGATTTTGAAAGCACAAAAGATTGGTCATTGTAGACTACCAATTCTTGGAAAGATTTGTGGCTTCATAGCCATCACCAAGGAACATTTACTCATTTTTACCTGAAAGTTGTTGTTGTTTTTTCAGTAAGGGAGAAAAGGAAGAAATAATGTTGGATCATATACCCCATGGTTTCTAATTCTTTCAGTCTTTACTCCCCCTTCCTAAAGAGTTCTACTCTGCTCCTTTCAGTCCCAGATTGAGAGGCGGCATTCATTCACAAATGACTCTTAGGCTTCCTTCTGAATGTCTGCTTCCTTACAAAGCCAAAACCACAACATTAAGGCTCAATGAACTAAGACTTGTAAAGATGCAGACAGGAAACCTAAGTGCCTGGGAGAAATCATCTCTTTTCCATTATACCTTTAAATTCTCTTCCGATGTTCAGGAATAATAAAGATGATAATAATAGTAATAATAACAACAAGGTCTATCATTTAGTATTGGTGAGGCAGACACTGTTCTAAGTTCTTTATATGAATCAGTTCTTCACAACAGACCTAAGAAGCAGGTACAATTGTTGCCAGTAGTTTACAGATGAGGAAATAAAAATGCAGAGATGTTATATAACTGTATAAGATCACCCAGGCTGGACCCTACAGAGCCAGGATTTGAACCTAGGTCGTTTCTATTCTGCTTCTTGAAAGGTTCGGCACGGTAAAGAAAAGGAGGGCCAGGCTACATTTCTTAAAGGGAGGGAAAGTTTATTGCGCCCCGGGCGGACCTCACAGACCCAAGGCGGGGGTCAGTGGAGTCGCGCACGTTGTTAGGGGGAAGCAGGGTTTTACAGGGCGAGGAGAGGTCAGGTGGGTAGTTGGGCTCCTATGGCGGGAAAAGTTTGGCATTCCGGCCTGCTGCATGGACCTTTCACTTCTCACCATCCAAACTGGTTATCACCCTAAATGCCCATAGAGTGAAGTGTCACCATTAGTTTACCACCTTTTGCATTCAGAATGTCCCCTGTATGACCAAGTGCTAGGCCATGTTCCCCCCATCCCACCCCCCCTCCGCTGGAACTCCAGTACAGTGAAATCTGTTGAGATCTGCTTAGGAAAAGCATTCTTAAATCAGATTACTCTCTTGGAAACCAGCCTTGAGCTGTTAACATATGCTTTGTAAGCGCTAACCAGGATAGATCCAACCAAATTCAGAGCATTAGGATAGATCCAACCAAATTCAGAGCCTTCCTACCTCACATTATAGGGAAGCAAGATCATTAAAAAGCAATTTGGAGTCTCTGATGTTCAACAAGGTAGAAACCAGGTGAAGTGGGAAGAGATAAGTGATGGAAATTGAGAGAAAATAAATATGACATTTGTGCACATAGAGAAATCAGTACTATACTGCAAAGATTGAGGATCAAGGTCATGTGCAAGTGAAGCGTGTGGGCATGGTATGCCAGAACTAGAAAAGAAACATAAACATGGGCCTCCCAGGTGGCGCAGCGGTTGAGCGCTGGGCTGTGAAGCTGCCCGCAGCCTCCGCGGCGCCGGTTCGATCCCCGGCTGCTCCCTGGCCACCAGAGGAGGGTCCCACATGGCGCGCAGACCTCTCCTGCCGCCCGCTGCTCCCCTCAGCAGTGTACTTCGGTCCTTCTGCCTGCTCTGCTCCCCGCTCTGGCTCTGGTGAATTCTCTCACCCTCCCGCGCTTCTGACTGTACCCAGTGCTTGTATAAATAAATAAATAAAAATAAATCTTTAAAAAAAAAAAAAAAAAGAAACATAAACATGAAAACCAAGTACATGGCAAGGGAGGTGGTGGCCAGTCAAGTGGGTATACCCTCCCAACCTCCCATAAGGAGCTTCAAATACATTAAATACAATTTTAGGCTACGTTAATAGAAACCGCGTATGGAACAAGGAAAGAAAGAACTCCGCTTAATTCTACTGAAAGTAACGTGTTCACTTTTAGAAGGATATAATAAAGGGAGCGATCAACCAAGATGGTAAAGAGACTAGAAATGCTGCTTTATAAGAAAGAATTCATGAGCCATCTTGAAATACCTGAAGGGCTGTTGTGTAAAAAAGGAATTAAACTTGTCCTGAGGAGCTTTAAGACTCTAGAACTGGGCCTCCCCGGTGGCGCAGCGGTTGAGCGCTGGGTTGCGAAGCTGCCTGCAGCCTCTGCAGCACCGGTTCGATCCCCAGCTGCTCCCCGGCCACTGGAGGAGGGTCCCACATGGTGCGCAGACCCTTCCTGCTGCCCGCTGCTCCCCTCAGCAGTGTACTTTGGTCCTTCTGCCTGCTCTGCTCCCCGCTCTGGCTCTGGTGAATTCTCTCACCCTCCTGCGCTTCTGACTGTACCCAGTGCTTGTATGTATAAATAAATAAATAAATCTTTAAAAAAAAAAAAAAAGACTCTAGAACTGATGGTTAGAAGCTTCAGAGACCACATACGTGT